TCCAATGGCTAAAACTATGCAATACACCAACCACTCCATTTCAGAACGAACTTCCTACGAACCTGAATAGTCCGATTTCATGGACCAATCGATATCGGATTGAGTCCAAAACTTGGGGAACAACATAATATGGTGGGAGGAGTCATTGGTTGGTTTTGAGTGAAATCCAATGGCTAAAACTATGCAATACACCAACCACTCCATTTCAGAACGAACTTCCTACGAACCTGAATAGTCCGATTTCATGGACCAATCGATATCGGATTGAGTCCAAAACTTGGGGAACAACATAATATGGTGGGAGGAGTCATTTGGTTGGTTTTGAGTGAAATCCAATGGCTAAAACTATGCAATACACCAACCACTCCATTTCAGAACGAACTTCCTACGAACCTGAATAGTCCGATTTCATGGACCAATCGATATCGGATTGAGTCCAAAACTTGGGGAACAACATAATATGGTGGGAGGAGTCATTTGGTTGGTTTTGAGTGAAATCCAATGGCTAAAACTATGCAATACACCAACCACTCCATTTCAGAACGAACTTCCTACGAACCTGAATAGTCCGATTTCATGGACCAATCGATATCGGATTGAGTCCAAAACTTGGGGAACAACATAATATGGTGGGGAGGAGTCATTTGGTTGGTTTTGAGTGAAATCCAATGGCTAAAACTATGCAATACACCAACCACTCCATTTCAGAACGAACTTCCTACGAACCTGAATAGTCCGATTTCATGGACCAATCGATATCGGATTGAGTCCAAAACTTGGGGAAAAACATAATATGGTGGGAGGAGTCATTTGGTTGGTTTTGAGTGAAATCCAATGGCTAAAACTATGCAATACACCAACCACTCCATTTCAGAACGAACTTCCTACGAACCTGAATAGTCCGATTTCATGGACCAATCGATTGATCGGATTGAGTCCAAAACTTGGGGAAGGGGGGGGGGGGGGGGGGGGGGGGGGGGGGTCATTTTTTTGGTGGTGGTTGGTTTTTTGTTTTAGTGAAATGCAATGGCTAAAACTATGGAATACACCAACCACTCCTTTCAGAACGAACTTCCTACGAACCGGATAGTCCGATTTCATGGACCAATCGATATCGGATTGAGTCCAAAACTTGGTCGAGGGGAGGGGGGGGGGGGGGGGGGGGGGGGGGGTTTTTTTTTTTTTTTTTTTTTTTTTTTTTTTTTTAAAAAAAAAAAAAAAAAAAAAAAAAAAAAAAAAAAAAAAAAAAAAAAAAAAAAAAAAACCCCCCCCCCCCCCCCCCCTTTTTTAAAAAAAAAAAAAAAAACCCCTTCTTACCAATTTTTTTTTTTTTTTTTTTTTTTTTTAAAAAAAAAAAAAAAAAAAAGGGGGGGGGGAAAAAAAAAAAAAAAAGGGGGGAAAAAAAAAAAAAAAAAAAAATGGGGTTAAAAAAAAAAAAAAAAAAAAAAAAAAAAAAAAAAAAAAAAAAAAAAAAAAAAAAAAAAAAAAAAAAAAAAAAAAAAAAAACGAACCTGAATAGTCCGATTTCATGGACCAATCGATATCGGATTGAGTCCAAAACTTGGGGAACAACATAATATGGTGGGAGGAGTCATTTGGTTGGTTTTGAGTCAAATGCAATGGCTAAAACTATGGAATACACCAACCACTCCTTTTCAGAACGAACTTCCTAGCCATTGGATTTCACTCCAAACCACCAAATGACTCCTCCCACCATATTATGATGTTCCCCAAGTTTGGGACTCAATCCGATATCGATTGGTCCATGAAATTGGACAATTCAGGTTCGTACGAAGTTCGTTCTGAAATGGAGTGGTTGGTGTATTGCATAGTTTTAGCCATTGGATTTCACTCAAAACTCACCAAATGACTCCTCCCACAACATTATGATGTTCCCCAAGTTTTGGACTCAATCCGGATCGATCGTGAAATTGGACAATTCAGGTTCGTACGAAGTTCGTTCTGAAATGGAATGGTTGGTGTATTGCATAGTTTTAGCCATTGGATTTCACTCTCAAAACAACCAAATGACTCCTCCCACAACATTATGATGTTCCCCAAGTTTTGGACTCAATCCGATATCGATTGGTCCATGAAATTTGACAATTCAGGTTCGTACGAAGTTCGTTCTGAAATGGAGTGGTTGGTGTATTGCATAGTTTTAGCCATTGGATTTCACTCAAAACTCACCAAATGACTCCTCCCACAACATTATGATGTTCCCCAAGTTTTGGACTCAATCCGATATCGATTGGTCCATGAAATTGGACAATTCATGTTCGTATGAAGTTCGTTCTGAAATGGAGTGGTTGGTGTATTGCATAGTTTTAGCCATTGGATTTTACTCAAAACCAACCAAATGACTCCTCCCACAACATTATGATGTTCCCCAAGTTTTGGACTCAATCCGATATCGATTGGTCCACGGAATTGGACAATTCAGGTTCGTACGAAGTTCGTTCTGAAATGGAGTGGTTGGTGTATTGTACAGTTCTAGAGAATGGATTTCACTCAAAATCAACCAAATGACTCCTCCCACCATGTTATGATGTTCCCCAAGTTTTGGACTCAATCCGATATCGATTGGTCCATGAAATTGGACAATTTAGGTTCATACAAAGTTCTCACTGAAATGGAGTGGTTTGTGTATTGCATAGTTTTAGCCATTGGATTTCACTCAAAACATACCAAATGACTATTCTCACCATGTTATGATGTTCCCCAAGTGTTGGACTCAATCCGATATCGATTGGTCCATGAAATTGGACAATTCAGGTTCGTACGAAGTTCGTTCCGAAAGGTGAGTGGTTGGTGTATTGCATAGTTTTAGCCATTGGATTTCACTCAAAACCACCAAATGACTCCTCCCACAACATTGTGATGTTCCCCAAGTTTTGGACTCAATCCGATATCGATTGGTCCATGAAATTGGACAATTCAGGTTCGTAGTAAAGTTCGTTCTGAAATGGAGTGGTTGGTGTATTGCATAGTTTTAGCCATTGGATTTCACTCAAAACTAACCAAATGACTCCTCCCACAACATTATGATGTTCCCCAAGTTTTGGACTCAATCCGATATCGATTGGTCCATGAAATTGGACAATTCGGGTTTGTACGAAGTTCGTTCTGAAATGGAGTGGTTGGTGTATTGTACAGTTTTAGAGAATGGATTTCACTCAAAACCAACCAAATGACTCCTCCCACCATATTATGTTGTTCCCCAAGTGTTGGACTCAATCCGATATCGATTGGTCCATGAAATTGGACAATTTAGGTTTGTACAAAGTTGTTTCTTTAATGGAGTGGTTTGTGTATTGCATTGTTTTAGCCATTGGATTTCACTCAAAACACACCAAATGACTCCTCCCACCAATAGTTGTTCCCCAAGTTTTGGACTCAATCCGATATCGATTGGTCCATGAACATAATAAACTGGAGATTAACAACTTGATAATGAAAGAAACGAATTCAATTAACTATGAAATCATCCATAACACTGAATATTCATGACTAAGGCTTCATCCTAAGCCCTAACTGAATGGATTAGTTAGACATAACTATGAATACATAAAATAAGAAATACATAGATAGAATAAAGAGAAGAGTTGATGGCAGCAAGGTAGTTCCCAGGACAGCTCCGAGCTCTCCCACCTTTGCAACTTGCTCTCTTCTCTTTTTGTGGTGAAGGATGGAATCTGAATGTGTATATGAGTGATGGATGAAATGAAAGTCTGTGTTCTTGAATGAGCGTGTAGCTCTTTATTTATAGAGTGCCAAATTCGTCCTCCCTTTTGGCTGGTGAAGCATACCTCTCTTAGCTGCTGCCCAACTGCCTCAACTGCCCAATAAATGCCTTTGGTGGACAATTGGTCTCTTTATGACAAGCTTGAATTTTGTTCATCTTTCTGAGTTCCCAAGCTGATTTGTCTCCCATGTGTGGCTGCTCTTATGTGTAGCACATGGCTCTAGGGATGTAGCCACATTAAATGTTATGACAGCCAACTATGACTTTTTTGTTTAACTTGGTTGAGTCTTTGACATGCTGAGGGCTCCATATTTATCTAATTAGGCTGCAATTTGGATATGTTATAATAGGAACCCATTGGAACAACTCCTATCAAGGATGTCTCCTCATATGAGCTATGTAAGTTGCTGAAAGGAGGCCTACAAGATGACTTACGAAACTGGATTAACAAGGAGTGGGGCCCAAATGGGGTTTGTCTTTAAGCTCATACTGCTCTTATCCCAATCAGCCCTTAACAAGCATGGATTGCATCAAATGTGATCTCTTGTTGTCTTAACCTACAAAACAAAGAAAAAGAGGTAAGTGACTTAAAATAAAGAGAACCTAAGCAAAGTCACTAAGTAAAGAAGGCACGCGAATGTTTGAAATTATGAACTTATCACAGGGATACTAAGAACAATGCAATCTATAATGGGAAAAAGTGTAATAAATTTTTTATGTCGGGAAGTTTTTTTATTTTATTTTTAGAAGTCGTAAAATTGAAAATATCATTTTTAAAAATTTGAGAGGAATTTTTTAGTTCTGTAAGTTGGAGAAGGTCCTAAAAATCATAGACTACTTATGGGGAGCTTATTGTGCAAGGAAATTTCAATAAAAATGGGGTTGACAAGGTGTGAAATATTTTGTCAAGATTTTAAAAAACGCTGCGCCCTGCGCCATGATAGGACAAGTTTTGAAAAATTCAGTCAACATTCAGCACACTGCGCACAGGCTGTGCGCATGTTGTGCACACGCTACGTGCAAGGCATGGCAAGACAACTTTTGAAACATTTTGTCGACATTTTTTGCACACTGTGCACATGCTGTGTGCATGATGTGCGAAGGCAAGACAAGGCAAAGCAAGCCACGCCATCGTAAGCTCTCTTGAGCAAGTCAGTTTGTCGGAATGCCTTGAATGGGAGCGAAGGCAAGGTCACGGCATGCCAACGCAAGCCAAAGCCACGGCATGCCAAGGGCAAGGCAACGCATGGCTTGAATGGTTGGTGTAGGCCACATCATGGGCATGGCATGCCTAGGCAAGGCAAGCCATCCGAAGCCTCGAATAGCCTCACTTTCTCATAATGCCTTGAATGATAAGCAATGCAAAGGCAAGGCAACGCATGGGTCTAGGCCACATCTTGGGCATGGCGCAAGGCAAGGCAAGCCACGCCATCTGAAGCCTCCAATAGCCTCACTTTGTCGGAATGCCTTGAATGGGTGCGACTTGCCAAGGCAAGGCAAGGTCCAAAAAATCATTAAAATCATAGACTAATTATAATGAGCTTATTGTGCGGTGAAATTTCAATAAAAATGCAACATTTGAAAAATTTTGTTGACATTTTCAGCATGCTGCGTGCAGGCTACATGCAAGCCATGACATGACAAGGTTTGAAAAATTCTGTCAATATTTTCATCATGTTGCGCGCACATTGCATGCAAGGCATGGCATGACGAGGTTTCAAAAACTCTGTCCACATTTTCAGCAGGCTTCGTGCATGATGCGCGTAGGCTGCGTGCAAGGGCAGGCATGCCAAGCTTCCAATAGCCTCACTTTCTCGGAATGCCTTGAATGGGGAGCAATGCCAAGGCCAAGGCCCGACATGCCAACGCAAGGCAAGCCACGCCATCCCAAGCTTCCATTAGCCTCACTTTCCCGAAATGTCTTGAATGGGGAGCAATGCCAAGGCCAAGCCAAGGCACGACATGCCAAGGCAAAGCAAGGCAAGGCATGTCAAGGCCAAGGCATGCCAAGGCCAAGGCATGCCAAGGACACGACATGCCAAGGTCAAGGCACGACATGCCAACGCAAGGTAAGGCAAGGCTCAATGAAACTTGCAATAATATCACATAAACTCTCTGCCTATTTAGCTATAAATGAAAAATAAATAAATAAATATAGCAATTGAATACAAATAGGCCAAAATTAAAATTGACACAACATTAGATTTTGAATTCAAAACAATTAGACTACAAAAGAACTGTTTGCACCTTTTTTCTTTCAAGTATTTGAAACCAAAGTAAGTAGCATACTACACAGATTTGCGAAAGTGCAACAATTGAATATTCAAATCAAATTTATCTTCATAAAAGGAAAACTTAATTGTCTGTTGACCAATAATGCTTTATTCCTTCATAATGCATTAAACCACATAAAGATAGTGTATAAAAACCCAACGTTAAAAGTAATTACATGCTAATTAACAACAAAATTTAATGCAGATATGAATATCAATTCAAGACAAAATCATATCAAATCAATTTAAATTAATTTTCATTTTTTTCCAAAATCAAAACAAAGAAGGTATTAGCACAAAATTTCATTAAGTTTCATAACCATGTTAAGGGCAATAATCACCCAAAATTATTAACAAATTTATTGCCAAAATAAATATAGGAATTGAAAACAAGTGTGACCACTAGGCCAAATCTCGAAAATTAATTTCAACAAAAGGTATTTTTGTGTTTTGAAGAAGTATATGCATATGCACATAAAATAGAATAGGCATTTTTTGTATATCAAAATATATGTAATCAAGAAGGCAGTTTTTCATGAATTGGCGTTTCTATATTGAATAAAACAACTAACAAACACAATACAAACTCTGATATAAAAAAATAATAAATAAATAAATAAAACAGAGGGACCATGTAAATAACATCAGGAAATAGATTTCCATTTAAATATCTAAAGAAAAGCTTTTGTCAAAAAATTGGCATTAAACCGAATAATAGATTACAAATGACATGCAAAAATCAATAAATTCAATTTAACCTTTCACTTCCAAACAATTCAATTAAAACAAATTAGACCAACGGTTTTTAAACACTTAAACAGTTTAACAATGGATGTTTCAACGTAAATTGATTAATGAGTAATAACTAAGCAACGGGTAATGAAGCAATACATGTAACTACCCGATCCTAAATTAATATTTAATTATTAATTTATTCAAGTAAAAGACAATTTTATCCCGGAATATTTTAATGGATTAAAAGTTGATTTTTTATTCGGGAAGGAATTTGGGAATTTCAATTGTACCGTTGCGTAGAGCACATCGAGATGAGTCCGTAGACACGTAGTCAGCTCAAATCCGAGTTGTATTGAAAGAGATACGATCAAAATTCAAGTAGAGGCAAAATCATAGTTTTGCCAAACTGGTTTTTAAGACCAGAATTTCTCTCTCTCTCTCTCTCTCTCTCTCTCTCTCTCTCGGGTTCGCACAGCAGCCCCTCCCCCCTTTGAAACAGCAGCGACGATTTTTCCGTCGCCACTGTTGCCACACGCCACCGTTTTGGGTGGCACCGGTCCCAAAAGAACTGGGCCACCTCCCACTTCCCATTCCAACCAACCTCAGCCGCTGGAACTACCGGTGCTGGCTGGAAATTGAAGAAATCTGGGCTGTTTTTGGACTGTTTTTGACAGATTTTTCGAACGCTCGTTTGGGTGTTTCCGACGGCCAAATTTTGCGATCTAGGTATGCTTTCTCATCCTCTCGAGGTGCTCTAGCTGCTGATTGTGTTGGATAGGAGAAATTTCTGAATTTTGGAGGGTAAATAAGCGATTGAAAATCTGCCGGTTTTCGGTCTCTGATTCCGGCCACTTCCATCGACTTTTCAGGGTAGGTCCAAGAACAAAAGTGTCTCCAAATGAGGTTTTACACCTAGGGTAGGAAGCTTGGGCCTTAATTTTGTGAATTTTTGGGTGATCGTTATCGCTTTGGGCACCCACGCACTGCCGGCGTGTGTGGCGACATGTGGGCACTGTAGCAAAGGGGCATTGTTTCCCAATACGATCCTCTAGTTGTCACAAGTGCGTAGGCATGCTCGGATTCCAATTTGGATACTGTTTGAGCCTCGAACGGATTTTGCATATTGTGCGATTTCCGAGTTTGATAGGTTCGGACCGTTGGATCGAACCCAAATTTATGTATGTTGTACCTTGTATTTCTATGATCATATGGGATTCAACGGATCGTGAATTGAAGACCCGGATACTCAGAAATTATGAATCCTAGGATTAAATAACCGTAATTGTCTGATTGTGCGATCGTGATCAATCCGACTGTCTGATTCGGGCCAAACTCACAGGACATGGTTATTAAAATATGTGGAACCTATAGAAATTCCCGGAATTGTGATCAGAGGTCGTGGGCCCTATGGGCCGATTAACCAAGATTAGGAAGTTTGGACCCTCGGTTGACCATGAGTCTTCCGAGGTAGTTTATCCTTTGAAAAGTGTTTGAACGACTAGGTAAATGAGTTTTGACCTGAAGTTGGGTGATTTTGACCCTGTCAGGTTAGAGGATTGTTTTATAGTATTTTCTAGAATTCTTGGATAGTACATCAATAATTGAAGTTATGGAAGTGTATTATCATATGTGATGGTAAACCTAAAGGGTATTGTCGATAATTGGAGTTTATGCAATATAGAGGATTGATCTCTGGAAAATTGAGAAGAGAATTTAAGTAAGGCTTGTGAAACAAGAGGAACTTCGAAATAAGTTCAGAATATGGTTTTGAAACCCACTTCAGGAGTACCCCCCTAGTTGCTTTTGGAAACGGATTTGTCATTATGACAATGCCCCATGAGTTTCATGGACGTCTGAATCGTGTGGTGCGAGAATGCGGCTTAGGTTGACTTGATGTATCCAAGGCTTGGGAGGAATGCAGCTCGAGTTCACTTGGTGTCTCAGAGGCCTGCAAGGAATACGGCTCGATTAACTTTGGGTTTCCGAGGCCTGCGAGAATGGAATTGACGGATATATGGAATTGATGGAATATGGACGGGGGTACGTTCGGGTGGAGAGTTTTCAAAGATAAAGAATTTTATATAAAGTACAACCAATTTTGACAAGAGCCGATCCAAATTCCACTTTGGAGACCGAGTCGAACCCTATGCTTGTCCGACACCTGACGAATGCCGGACACAACTGACCAAATTGCGCTTCCAACCAAAATTCAATGAAATTCAAGTACGACTTCTGCCGAAAATTCGACAGAGTCCCCCCTATAAATTTTACATTTTCTAAAAATTCCCATATGTAGAACAAGCATATATGTTTATATATATCCCACCTGCCAGCATGTATCGAATTGTATCAAAAAATCAAGCTTCATAATATTCTGGCCTCCGGCCTCAATAAATCAAATAAATCATTCTGCTAACAACATTCAATACAATTTCTTATAACATCCCTAGAACAGTGTTAGATTTCATAATAACTTAACTGGACTATCTTTTATTACTTGACCTTGTGGCTGCACCTAGAATTCTAGGTTGCCTACGTACCCTTAACAAGGGTTCAAGCCACATGTAGTTCTTCCCATTTAATAATGTAATTGAACATCTTATTCAGAACTCTAAAACAATACTTTGCAACTTCCCAATACTCGTAACAGTCATATACTGATTATAAATAAGTCATACACTGAACTATCTCTATTTTAGTTTAGGAACATCTCAAAACTGAAATTCTCTCCACCTAGGCGTACCCCCATTCCATATCCGTCAATTCCATTAATACCGTCAATTCCATCCTCACAGGCCTCGGAGACGCCACTTCTATCCGAGCCGCAATCCTCGCAAGCCTTGGAGATAACACTTCTATCTGAGCCGCAATCCTCGCATGCCTCGGAGATAACACTTCTATCCGAGCCGTAATCCTCACAGGCCTTGGAGATGCCACTCCTATCCGAGCCGGAATCCTCGCAGGCCTAGCTACAATCCTCGCTCCGCACGGTTTAGGGGTTCCCAAAACACGTGGGGCATTATTTATAAATGACACTATTTCAAAGCAACTAGGGGGTACCTTTGTGGTGGGTTTGAAAAACCGTATCCCAAACTTATATCCATACTTTCTTTTTATTTCACAATCTATTTCCTGATCTTTATATCAACTTGTTGATAAATTGATTCTCCACTATACTTAAAATATATATGCACAATTTAACAATCTATAAATAACTATCTATACTCAATCTGTAACATGACTCAAATAACTCATTCTCAGTCAGGACTCGTTTACATCGTCATTCTAACCCTCCTCAAGGGATATAATTGCCTCGGAACACTCACGATCAACCGAGGAGTCAAACCACCTAAACTTGGTCAACCGGACCCGCGAGGCGCTCGACCTCCTACCACAAATCCGGGAGTCCCAAAGGGTTCCAATATGCCTAGGACACATGTCTCGAGAGTTTTGTCTCGATTGGACAGTCGGATTAATCACGATTGCACAATCGGACAGTTACTATAAACATAACCCTAGGGTTGGCATTTTCAGAATATTCGGGACTCCGTTTTACGATCCGTTGAATCCTATATGATCTTGGAATTACCTAGATCAACATATATGAATTCGGGTTCGATCCAACAGTCCGAACATATTGAACCCGGAAATTGTACACTAGGTGAAATCCGTTCAATGCTCAAACGGTATCCAAATTGGAATCCGAGCACACCTACGTGCTTGTAACAACTAGGAGATCATTTTAGGACAGTATGTAGCTCAACCACTCTGCTCACGCGCCCGCAGCGCGTGCATATCCAAAGAGATATCACTCGCCGAAAAATCTCAAAATCAAGGGCCAAGCTTCCTACCCTAGGTTCAGGACATCAATTGGAGCCACTTTTGCTCTTGAACATACCCCGAAAGATGGCCGAAATTGGCCGAAATTTCATCCCTAAATCCAAATCGAGTTACTTACGCTAGGAATTGATCAAATCCTACCCAACAAGCAGCTAGAGCATGAAGAATAGATAAAAATCCATACCTTGATCACCAAAAATGGGCATCGGAGGAGAGAGAACGGAGCCGGAGAAAACTCACGAAGTTCCAGCCATTTTCTTCGTTTTTCCGGCGCCTAGAGCGGCTATTGATGACAGGGAAGGACCGGGAAGTGACGGCGGGGCTAGGCCGGTCCTTTTGGCACCGGTCCCGTGCCCTACTATGGCCGGTGGTAGTGGAATCGGAGAGAGAGAGAGAGAGAGAGAGAGAGAGAGAGAGGTTTTAAAATATGACCTGGCAAATTACCATTTTGCCCCTCAATGTATTTTGATCGTATCTCTCTCATTACAACTCGAATTTGAGCCAACTACGTTTCTACGAACTCATCTCAATGTGCTCTACACAACAGTACAACTAAAATCCCCAAATTCCTTCCCGAAAAAAAACGTCAACTTTTAAACCATTAAAATATTATGGGGTAAAATTTTCTTTTACTTGAATAAATTAATAATTAAATATTAATTTAGGATCGGGTTGTTACAAATTTATTAAGCTATGAGTTTGTCTTATAAGTTAAAGAGTTAAAATAACCACATGTGGCTTGATCCCTCGATAAGGGATGAGGCTAGAATGATATGATGCTTGATTGCTTGGATATAATTTAACGCATGTTGAACGATTGGAATATATAAATGTTTATTGACAGGTGGAAATTTTTGAAAAATGGGCAAATTACAGGGGAGACTTTGCCGAATTTTCGGCAGTAGAAAAATTGGTTTCTAGTTAAAAGGGCAATTTGGTCATGTGTGCCCGGCATTCGCCAGGTGTCGGACATGCATAGGGTTCGGCCTGGATTCCAAAATAGAATTTGGGTCAGGTCCTGTCAACTTGGTATCAGAGCCATAGGTTTAATTTCATGTACCACACCTTTTGTGCATCCTTACTTTCATTAAGTGAAATGTGGTGGGTTTTTGAAGTGATGCTTTTTCGATGTGGGTGACCACGTGAGACGTTTCAGGAATGCATTGTGAGCTTGGCTTCTGTGGCACGTGGTGAACTTTATGTTCTGAGTTGTTAAGGCTGTTTGAGTTAAGTAGGATTGGTGGTTAACTAATTAAGAAGTAATGATTTTTGGGGTAACGAGTGTTTGCTTGTGAGTCAACAATACCTCAAGGAAATTCATGTGGTCTTGGAATGGTCTTACTATTGATCTGCTGGGTTTGTTTGGTTTGAGCTCGGAAATTAAATTTGTAAGGAAAATTTCAGTGTGAGTTTAGGAAATGGTTTGGTTGAATTTTGAGAATTGTATTATGGTGTTTCTGGTAGTCTTGATGATATTTTTTATGTTCAAAGTTTGTGCATTGTTAGAGTGATGGAATCTCTTGGAATTATTTATTTATTTATTTATTCCTCTACTTAGTCAGTTACTTACTTATATACCTTCCTATCTACTTATTATTGTTGGGATTGTTGTTCATGTATCGGATTGAGTGTTAGTGGATGATTTCTTGCTTATGAGTTTAAGGGTAATCACTTATACATTCTAAGGATAATAGATTATGCTTAACGGTGTAAAGCTAGGCACGGCTTAATAATTGGTTGGAGTGTACGAGAAATTAAATAAATATTTTATCCTGTGTTTATATTTGACAGAGAGCTTCTATTGAGGGATCCCTCAAATAAGCTTATTTGAGGGACACCCCTTGTAAGCCCCACTATGGATTGTATTTCACTAATCCAAACCATCTATTTTGTAGATACTCATTCAAAGATCATCTCTACAAAAAATCACTTGAATCCGATATCATTTGACCATTCAATTGAGTTATTGAAATTTTAGTACTTTCTTGAAGCACCGTGTTCATTGATTTTGTAAGACACAATTGGATGTCGAAACGATTTCCGATTTGTCTAATTTTTTGTAAGGATGATCTATGAATAAAGACCTAAAACATATATGATTTGGATCATTGGAAAAAAAATTGTAGGGTACCCTAAAGGGCGTCCCTTAAATAAAATTATTTGAGGGATCCCTCAATAGAAGGGAACTGTTATATTTGATATATATATATATATATATATACATACTCAGTGGCTCTTGAAAGTGATAAATCATGACTAGTAGTTCTTAACAGAGTGTGGGTACGTATAGTTTGTGAAATAAAGGGAAAGTATTAATATAAGAGTTGGGAAATGGATAGTATAGTTTGTGAAATAAAGGGAAAGTATTTATATAAGTTCAGTATATGGTTGTTGAGGTCCAAAAAATCCACGGTTCAACCCAAATGAATTCACAACCCAGCACAATGTCTTATTAAGAAAAGACCCGATTTGGAGCCCACGAAAGTTTGTCATTCACGCTTGCACGAGCCATGACCACGTGCCATGCCAAAAATATTCAATTCGTCATGCTAACAATTGAAATGAGCCTATAAAAGGCACTGGCTCTACAAGCCCATGCTAATTATCCCGTCACGCATCATATCCGTTTTCAAAGACGATAAAATTCAAGCACGCCAAGAGACATGCAATGCCAAGCGGAAAATCATTATTTTTACACCTAGCCACGCTACAAGCTTAAGTGGGCCCAAGCCACACAAATGCTAGGGGCTTGCTGAGTGGGTTCTGGTATGAATGGTAACAAGTATTCATGAGGCCCATTGATGAGCCAAGAAATGGAAATTTTGGGCTACTTGGAAACCCCAAAACTCGAGCCCATTTCTTGAGCCCAAATATGGGGGTAAGCATAATGAGAGAAATAGGTAGCCCATTCCCTTAGTAAAATAGCCCATCACTTTCGAGAGTTAGCCCATTCCCTTAGTGGGCTAACCCATCACCTTAGGAAAGCCCAAGCAACCAAAGAAAATATATGTAATCTCCAACACTTAGCTGGAAACAAGAGCCACAATGAAAGATAAAATATCCACGTAGGTAGAACACGCAAAGAACCAATGAGTATTAGCATGCGCAGAGCAGAAGCACCCTTCAAACCAACGCCCTTACCAATTTCTTTCTCCTACTAGCTTTTGCCATGGAAGAGGGAAGGAAAGAAGGTGAGGAGGTAGTCAAAAATAAGAGTTCAACACTGAAGCAGCTGTGGGAAGGCCTTAGAGCTCCCAAAAATCTTGTCTTTGCGTGTTTGGACAGAGGAAGATTTCAGGGTGAATCGAAAAGAGAGAAGATAAATGAAAGGGGAGACTTGGCAAAATTAGAGAGAAACCATTAGGGTTTCTTAGAAAGGAGTAGCTTCCAGCGGCTATAAAAAGGGCCATCTCCTACCCATTAAACACAACCACATCCACTACTTCACCACTAGCTAAAAACCTACATCCAGAGAGCAAGCATTATCTCTCATCCCTGAAGCCCTGCAATTTTGTGCCCTATTCCTCCATCTACTCCCATTTTCTTTTCTGGCAAGACATTCCAGAGTCTGACATAGCTTTTGTCAGGCTGTAGAAAATTACTCAACACACCCATTGTTCTTCCCATCTCTCTCTCTCTCTCTCTCTCTTTAATGTTAAACTCATGACTGCTTTGCTTCCATGCCACAAGCTTCTCATGCAGAGCTAAGAATCTATCTGTAAGCGACTGTTAGTTTCGCTAGTGAAGACAACCAAGGTGCTTCCTAAGGCTCAGCTACACTTTTAAAGCATTCTTGTGGTCTGATTCTTGAACTCAAACCCAGGGAAAATTTTCACACATTTCGCTCTTTACAACAGCCCAAGCTCACAGTAGCTGTCGGAATGAAAGTCCCTACATAAATTGGCGACTCTGTTGGGGATCAGGCCATTATCTTCATCGATGCCTCCAAGAAAGAAGACTAGAAGTAATACCATGGCTTCCCAAGACGGACCAGACCATGGTGACTCGGAATCAAGGCAAAATGCCTCTCCTAGAGAAGAAGAACATGCAAGTGAGGGAGCTTTTACCCTTTCAGATCTCATTGCAGCCATCCCTGCTGTGGGGGAAACCTAGAAGGAGATGGTAGACACAATCAAAGAGCTAAAAAGCTCCGTCTCCAAGCCAAGCGAAGAAAACGAAAGACCTCCCCAAGAGGAATTTGCTGCTGTCGGAAAGGGCTTTGAACAAAAGGGGCCATCTTTTGTCACCCAAGAAGATGTCATCGCTATGCTAGAGAAGGAACTAAGTCAAAGCCAAGAAGATTGGAAGTATGTTCCTCAACCGCTGTATCCATCAAGCTTACTGCAGCAGCCCTATCCCAAAGGCTATGAGGCACCAAGCTTTGTCCTTTTCGATGGGAGGAAAAGAAGCCCGAAGGAGCATGTCAATCGTTTCATTGATGCTTTGGAACCATATGCTGGTGATTATAATCTCTGACTTCGAGAATTTTCGAAAAGCCTTACCGATTGTGCTTATACGTGGTATACGACATTAGCACCAGACTCCGTTCGTTCTTGGGAAGATTTGGCAAGCAGGTTCGGTAAAAAAAAATTCCAACATAAGGAAAGAGTTACTACGACTCAACTCAACAACACCTGCCAAAAGCATGAGGAAGACCCTGTGGACTTCGTGCACTGATTTCGAGACCTGGCTCTAGACTGCTATGATGAGAAAGATGAGGAAGCACTTGTTGAAATTTGTATCAGCAACATTGTGGCAGATTACAGAGTTTATCTGGAGAATATTGGCATCATCCAATTTTCTCGGCTACTGGAAGCAGTGAGAAAAACAAGCATGTCGGTCAAGCTAACTGGGCAGGAAGCTTGGAAGAGTGAAGAGGAAGAAGCACACCAAACATTAGATGAGGATGACAAATCATCTAGTGACTACAATTTAAGCAAAAGAAAAGACAAGGAGACGTACCCGCCACTGCCGTACGAAGATGAAGTGTTCCATGCCATTCTTGATACAATGTTTGCTAATGGTGCAATCAAACCCTCCAAGCCTTACAAAGTCCGTACCAAAGAGGAAAAGGGTGATCCTAGGTACTGCCGTTATCATCAGTTTGTGGGTCATCCAACCAATTCTTGTCAAACTTTGAGGAAAATCTTGCACGCCGAGATACATGACGGAACTCTTGAGCTACCCTCTAGGAAGCCAGCTTTTGACGAAGACCCCTTGCCAAAACGAAGGGGAAAGGAGATGGCTGCTGTCATTACATGCTCTGATGACTTGCTAGATGACGACGTATTGTGCCACCTGTGGAAGAATGACCCAAAGCCATCGGAGGCTATTTGGGAGCCTTGTGGAACCATAGAGAAAGCTTACTGGTGTAAATATTCAAAACCCTCAAGTTATAATACCCTATGGCCACTTACTGATGGATGGGAGGATGGTTCCAATAGCGAAGTTATTCACTTTGGATATGCTGGAAGAACACCACTTGGGGGCTTCATTTGGTCAACAAGATTATCGAGAGACAGCTGTCGTAACCTCTCATAACCTCACAAAAGTTGAAGAAAGGACAATGGGTTATGAGCTACAAATCACTCTTTGATTAGTTGGGTTATGAGCCGTATGCAAGTAAAGCAACAGTTGTGGCTCTGTTAAAATATCTCTGCAAAGCATGGCAACCTAGTACAACACATGCCAAATACATGCCAACCTAAGCCACAAGCTTTCATGCTATTGCAAGTCATGCACACTCCTTGGCCCTTTCATACTTGGGGGCTTGATTTGATTGGAGTATTCATCAATGCAAAGTGGTTCAAGGCCTTACTATTGTTGAGTTGCTTTTGCACCTATCCTTTTGTTTTTGGCTTTTCAAATTCATTTCAAAGATGAACTCCTTCTGTGTTTTCACCATATGCTTTCACAACTTTTGTAGAATGCACCACTATTATAGCATGCCAAGGTGAAAGATGATATTTGCAATGAGAATGGAGTATTTTGGAGAAAGAAAAAAGCCTCTAGAATTCTTTCCTTGCTTTTACCTTCTTCTATTTTGCAAAACATGTTCTTTTTAAAACAAAAAAACATAGAGGCAATGGGGCAAACATTTTTGTGATCTTTTAAAAAAAAATTGGCAGCATGTACCTTGCAACTACCACAACCCAATCTTTTAAAATCTCAAGCAACTCATGCATTTCATTATTTCCAACCAAGTGAAGTGTACAAAACAAGCTGGAAATCATTATCTCAATGCATTCCAAACCTCAACAATTCATGCATTTCATTATTTCCAACCAAGAAAAGGGTACAAAACAAGCCGAAACTTAATATCTCAAGCATTCTAAATCAAAAGTTCTGGCAGAAAGTATGTAACAAAGCTGTGTTTCAAGGTTCCAACAACATGAGCTTTAGGCTCTCCATAAATAAATAAATAAAAGGGGTACAACTCAAGTCCAAATGTAGCCAACTATGCTACAAATCGATACACCCTGTGGTTTCAAAAGGAAATGCTACTAAGCACCAAGCCAGCCAACCCCCCACAACAAAGAAATGCAACCTGCAAGGTAAAATAAGGATTGGTGTTAAAGAAAGATGGTGCTAGAAGATATAGCCTTGCTATAAAAAAAAATTATATATATCATGGTGCCAACAAGGAGAATTAGGTACCTCAACCAGATCACGGTGCGTGACTAGAACAAAGCTGAAGAAGCACAGAGAGATGATCCTTTCGATGTTTCCACCACCCACCAAGCACCATTATCAGTAGCTCATTTGTCAAGGAGAAGGTCTCGTAGCTTACGACACTGGCTCTTCAATTCGTGTTCCTTAAGGCTCAACGCATTAATGAAAACTCTTGCTTAAGGGGATCGGGCATACATCTTTATGCTACAAGCAGCTCGTGCTCTAAAAACAGCGTATGCTATAACTGCTTCTAAGTATCAAGCGGAAAGTCCAAGCGAGGTCCTAATAAGACACATGCTCAAACCTTTTCAACACACTACTGTAAGGTCGAAAACGATGTCTCCTTTGCAACCTTCAATCATTCGCAAAACATCATTGGTAGTTGGGTCTGCCAACTCATAATCGAACCACTCTGGCCAGCCCTTAGTGATGCTGCAAGGGTATTGAAAAAATCAAGTGGCCGCCGGAAACATGCATTTTTTCTATACAACACATGGAAATGAGAGTAGCCTCCAAAGCTTACCCAGTGCCTATGATCAAGTCTTGGAAAGTGTTTTTAAGCGATGAAGGTAGTTGTCTCTTCTTCAGCCCATCGTGCAAGGGGAAATAGGCCATCACTCATCACAGAGGTCATCATGACTTATTACGTGAATCCCTGCAAGAATTGTCAATAGAGAATATGCTGCAAAAGGGCAAACTATAAAGCTAGTTCTCTGTGTTAAAGCCAAGCAATCTCCACACCAGCATGCAAGCAATATGAACTTCACAAACTAAGCAAAGCAAGCTATCTCATGCCAAGCGAAATGCATAAATAAAAAATATTTTCGAAGCATCATGCAATCCATTACTCGAGCTTATGACAAGCAAAGTTCTCATTCCATGCTCAATCAATCATTCCAGCAGACCTTTTTTTTCACAAAGCAAGTGTTGCGAACTGGACACTACTTACCTCCTAGTAACCTTTTTCACACAAAAAAATCCTTATGAGTTACAAGGTATTCTTACAGACCCATCATACACATGTTTATATCTATCCCTATAAGGCCAAGAAAATAAATAGTTATCCTAGTCCAAGCTCTAAGCTCATAAAAAGAAACCAACAGTGCCTTCCTCAAGCTTTCAACAACCTCTAATCCTATGTATTAATCATGCGATTACAAGCATACGCTCGTGATGCATATAGTTCAACAACAATCAAAAAGGGGGTCAAGAACGTAGCACACGCAAAATATATGCCAAGCATGGCAAGTCAAGCTCACACTAAAGGGAATGCTTAAGCAAATGTCCAAGCAGCATGCAATTTACCCATGGCAAGCAAAATTCTCGTACCCCTTTTACCCATGGCAAGTCAAGCTCATACAAAATTCAAGCATTGCAAAACATGCATTCTATCAGTTTCGTAACAGCCCTTTTCTCGCGACATAAGAGAAAGCCCAAAGCTAATCAAGCACGTGTTCACATGAAGAACGAGCCTATGCCAAACACCAATCTATGTCTATGCCTACAAAGTCAAAAGAATAACACACATTTCTAGCAAAAGAGCAGAACTACTTACCGAAAGACCAAGATAGAAGTCTAAATGCCCAAGTTATGAAATCGGTGCTCTCAAAGCTTCCAGTAGCAAGGAATGTGACACAAGGTTTCGGCACCTTCACCTTTCCTGTGCCAAAGACGTATAAACCTATAATCACGGGAGCAGCGCATCACGCACTTATCCATGCCTTTTTGCTAGCACAAAGAGGCCCAGCACACGATAAAATGAAGAAAAGAAAGGGGAGCAATCCATACCGACGGCTCCTTCACACGATTTCAGCAAAGGCACCCTTCCAGCAGCTTTCTCGAAAACTGACGCAAACCCTGCCTTTTCCAGCAACTATGTCATGGGTACTCTCGTCACGGTGACAACAAAGAATGGATAAGTCGAGAGGTCTAGCGCTTGGCTACCAAAACAAGAAAAGAAAAAACCCCATGAGGATGAAGAACCCAACAAGCCCCACAATAGATTCAAGAAATTGCAAAGAGGAAATGGCATACCTTGTTAATCACCTCAAAGGACGGCCTCAGATCCACCAAGAAAGAAGGAATTGGGAATTTTAGAAGAAAAGTATGCATAGAGACAATCTCTTCTAGCAATAGGAAGTGGGTTTCTTCGCGCGGGAATGACGGAGTTGAGTTTGGCTTGAGCTCCCATTCAGCGACTGTAGACAGGCGGTTCTTCTTGATCTCACTCTCTCTCTCTCTCTTGCTTTGCGTTCGTTGGAGGAAGAAAAGGAAAAAGAAGATGAAGGTGATGGGGAGAGGGTTACTCTGGTGCGCATAAATAGGAAGAAGAAGGAAGAAATAATAAATGAAAAACAAGGAGGAAGTTGGTATTTGGGAAACCACAAATAACTGCTGAAGCTTATGAATTTTATTTTTGGGGTCGGGTTTAATTATTCTGCCCATTTCAGCACTTATCCATGGCCCTCATAATTAAGAGGGCTAATGTTGAGGCCCAAAAAATCCACGATTCGGCCCAAATGAATTCTCAGTCCAGCACAATGCCTTTTTAAGAAAAGACCCGATTTGGAGCCCGCGAATGAGACTATAAAAGGCACTGGCTCTACAAACCCATGCTAATTATCCTATCAAGCATCATATCCCTTTTCAAAGACGATAAAATTCAAGCACGCCAAGTGACATGCAATGCCAAGCGGAAAATCGTTATTTTTACACCTAGCTATGCTACAAGCTTAAGTGGGTCCAAGCCACGCAAATGATCAGGGCTTGCTGAGTGGGTTGTGGTATGGATGGTAACAAGCATTCATGAGGCCCATTGATGAGTCGAGAAATGGAAATTTTGGGCTGCTTAGGAGCCCCAAAACTCAAGCCCATTTCTTGAGCCCAAATATGTGGGTAAGCATAATGAGAGAAATAGGTAGCCCATTCCCTTAGTAAAATAGCCCATCACTTTAGGGAGTTAGCCCATTCCCTTAATGGGCTAACCCATCACCTTAGGAAAGCCCAAGCAACCAAAGAAAATATCTGTAATCTCCAGCACTTAGCTGGAAACAAGAGTCACGATGAAAGCCATAATATCCATGTATGTAAGCTGCAGGGAGGCTCCAGCACATGGTTAAAAACAAACATCATGGTAGAACACGCAAAGAACCAATGGGTAGTAGCATGCACAGAGCAAAAGCACCCTTCAAACCAACGCCCTTACCAATTTCTTTCTCCTACCAGCTCTTGCCATGGAAGAGGGAAGGAAAGAAGGTGAAGAGGTAGTCAAATAGGAGTTCAACACTGAAGCAGCTGCGAGAAGGCCTTAGAGCTCCCATAAATCTTGTCTTTGCGTGTTTGGACAGAGGAAGATTTCAGGGTGAATCGAAAAGAGAGAAGATAAATGAAAGGGGAGACTTGACAAAATTAGAGAGAAACCATTAGGGTTTCTTAGAAAGGAGGAGCTTCCAACGGCTATAAAAAGGGCCATCTCCTACCCATTAAACACAACCACACCCACTACTTCACCACTAGCTACAAACCTACATCCAGAGAGCAAGCATTATCTCTCATTCCTGAAGCCTTGCAATTTCGTGCCTTATTCCTCCATCTCCTCCCTAATTCTCTTTTGGCAAGACATTCTAGAGTCTAACATAGCTTTTGTCAGGCTGCCGAAAAATTACTCAACACACCCATTGTTCTTCCCATCTTTCTTTCTCTCTCTCTTCAACAAACCCTCTTAGAGTCCCTTCATCCTTTCCTTAGAACCCCTGTTTCTCATAGGAACTCACAACTCTCTCTCTCTTTAACGCTAAACTCATGACTGCTTTGCTTCCATGCCACAAGCTTCTAGAAATATATATTTTCTTCAACCACCCTAGGTACCC